AAACAGGCTTTTAGCAGCTGAATTTCTGCAGGAAGGAAAACCTGCTTTCCAACCTTTGAGGGCAGCAGATATGAAACATCGTCCTTCAGAAATTTAGTTCAGTTTATTTCTATAGCGCCAATTCACAACACATGTCATCTCAAGGCACTTTACAGTTCAACCAGATCATCCAGTCAGATTGATTCAGTTTTCTATATAAGGAAAAGAGTTGATTGCATCGACTCATTGACTCTTCAGCAATCCCTCACACTAAGCATGCTTGTAGCGACAGTGGAGAGGAAAAACTCCCTTTTAACAGGAAGAAACCTCCAGCAGAACCAGGCTCAGTGTGAGCGGCCATCTGCTGAGGCCGACTGGGGTTCAAGGAGACAGAAGCAGACATAGAAAAAGAAGCATAGATACAAAAGGCAACTGTCAACCAGCTCCACAGGCGGCCCCGTCCAGGAAACACACAGCCAGGCAGACGAGCTCCGAGCCAGCTCCCATGTCAGAGGATGAAGAGAGCACATCCAGTTAGTCACAGTCAGAGAAACAGGACTACACTGAAAAACAGGCTGATCTCCAACATCTATAAACAAAGGTGTTGATGGCAGCAGCACAGCTGATATTTCTTTCCAGGATGGAGTCACAGCCAAACAGGAACAGACCAGATGAAGCTACTATGAGAAAAACGACAAAGGGCTAGAGATTCAATCTCACCATCAGCGAGCTGCTTCAGTTTTATGGTGATATCACCACAAACCTCATTCAGTTTAATTGAAAAATACCTTTTTAATTTGGACTAGAAAATACATATTGCTGTAACTATTATCATTGTCTCTTCAACCAGCTGTAGATCTGTCTTACAGCTGAAGACACTATTGCTGTAGAAAATACAGCAGAATAGATTCGTTGGATCTAATCTCGATTTAATCTGTTAGTCTGTCATGAAATAGAACCATGAGCTGGATGGAAAAATAAATCACAAATTTGAACAAAGAACCTGCAATCAACAACAATTGGAATACATCGGGTAAAAGAGGGAAAAAAGAGTTATTCCACCTTTCCGATTCCTCATCCTCCACGGACGGGTTGGTCGTTGGATCGCCAACTTGAAGAGGGAGGATTTGCCATCGAACTTCTGGCCAGAGAAAAAACCCGTAATACGTAGCCAACATTTGGAAGAAGAATGTTTTCAAGATGACTTGGATAATAGCGCGTTGTGACAAACACCAGATACAGCACTGGGACTTGATCAACAGCCGATACCGCACCGTGACGTCACAAACCAGTAGGTGGCAGTAGTGTTCTTTGACAAACATGGATGCCTCCAGTAAAGCACATTCACATGAAAATTACTCTGAATTAAAAACACTGATCATTTATTGAACAGGATGGAATAATTTCATATTTAAGGAACTTTTAAAAGTTTGAATTCTGAATATGAGCGGACTTCTCATTTTAAGCATTCGTTATGAAAACTAGGAATATGTTGCTCATCTCTTTGTACATTTCAGGATCTAAATAACCAACACAAAATCTTTTCATTTGAAAAGTCCAAATGTTTAGCTTTTAATGTGACTCATATAGTGATGGTAGGAGGCTCTGTTTTTAAAACAACTCAGCCTTTTTTTAGATGGAAATCCCTCCTTAGACATTTTTCTTCCCCTGGATGTCAAAGAAGAAACCATCAGAGACGAGTAAAAAAAAAAAAAAAACAGGCCCCCGACAGGAGATGCTTGTTTCCATGGCGACGTGGAGCATGTGCTCCTGTGTATGATGACCTCACGGATGCATACCGCTGCTCAGAGCTGCCTCCTCCTCCTCTGCATTGGATGCAGCGCGTCTGCCTCCACGCAAAACGTGCTGCAGTCACATGTTTGTGTTGGGACACCTGCTCCTGTTAACAACATGGGGTTTAATTATATTAAACTGAATTACCATCCGAAGCTTCTTCACTTCTCAGGAAAACTTTGATTATAAATAAACTGCAATGAAACACACTGATTCGCCAGGAACGTTCCACTGTCTTGGATTCTCATTTTCCAACCAGAGGATGCATTTATGATTGAAACAAAGCAAAAAAGAGGATTTTAGCTGAATATTAAGGAGCATTATGGGCCTCTTTCTTATTTATCTGTGGAGGCCATATTTTACAGGCCAGCATTCATCCCTTATGAAACTCACCTGACGGCTGGAGCTGCAACAACGTATGTCAGAAGAAACAAAGGGAGGCTTTAAAAGCTAAGGTCGTAAAAAAAAACAAGTGAAACACGGTGGTGGTGGTATCATGCTGTGTCGATAGGAAATCATAGTTGTATGTGACCTATGTAAGGCTGGGCATACACTGTACGATATTTTCAATGGTTGCACGTAGCTAGGGTCATTCATGCTTTTAACACTTATTTTCTGGTGTGGAATGATTGAAAATACTTGTTAAAATGTTACTCAAACAGAAAAAAGTGAACAAAAACAGTTACTGTATGAACTAGGGCGGCCATTAACGATTATTCTGTAAAATGATTAATCTGTCAAATATTTTTCGGATTAATCGATTAATAATTAGATAACAAAATGTTCCGTAAAGAAGATTTTTTAACCAGGTGAAACTAAAACGTTTCCACTTGAGGACAGCAGATAAAGTTTTTTTTTTATCTTTAATGCAAAATATTTACATGTTTTTTTACAATCTTGGTATTGCTCCTGCTCTAAGTGGGTCGCTCTGTCGGCTAAAGGCATGTTTTACAGTCTCTATACTCCAGTTAACGATTAATTGATTAATAAATTAGTTCATTATTTCAATAATCAATTTATCAGATTAATTATTTCAGCCCTAGTATGAACCAGTTACAGAAACCGAGAGTTTCTATTCTCGTAAATTATTTCTAACATTTTAGACGCAGGCCAATATTTACCTGGATGTTTGGCTTTTTTCAGACTGATTTCTGATGTTCGTATTCGTTGAGACGCAAATCCAGACTTAAATACATGAAACAGGTTTATATCATCCCCTGGAACATCCTTTAATAAACTCAACAGTTTGGAACATTTGATAACATCATAAAAACATCTCATGCGTGAAAATAACCTGAAATAAGCCAGATTATTTCTCCTAAGAAAGGTCCAATATCTGTGGTCGGCTATAGAAGCAGCCTGCTGTGGAGGGCGTTAATAGAAGGCGGACATTTATCCCATCGTTCATCGTTTTCATAATAACTTTATCATGCAAAGAATTTTTATTTGTCACAACAATAAAGATGAGCGATGTTTAAAAATATCCCCTACTATTAAAAATAAACAAATTGAAAAACAATCTATCCTGGTGTTCTGTCAGATGAACATACCCGTCAGACCAGCATACCCAGAGTCAATACCTGTTCATCCCTTTAGTTCTGTACGAAATATAAACTTTAAACCACCTCAAAAGGCATATAGCCCTTTAGTCAAGTGCAAAAAAAAAACCTATTTAATGACTTACTTTTTGGTGTTTTTTGAAGCGTATGGCGAGCTAACCTTAAATAGTTTTTTTCTGTACATGACTAAAGGGAAACACGCCTATTGAAGTAGTTTAAAGTCTATTTTTCATACAAAACTAAAGGGATAAACGCAAATCTGACATATTTTGCCTGCGTATTGACTATAGGTATGCTGGACTGATGGGGTATGCTCATCTGACAGAACACTTGTTCTGAAGTCCTTCTAAGGGCTCCCTGTAGCTCAGAGAATAGACTTTAGAATCCCTCTGTTAGTCTAGAAATCACTTAATAGATCAGCACCACATGACAGATGTGTTGTTAGTGGATCTACCTCCCAGACCTCTCAGGTCTTCTAGTTCCAGCCTCCTCTGTCCACTCAGAACTAGAACCAAACATGGAGAAGCAGCATCTATGCTCCACGGATCTGGAATAAACTCTTAGAAGACTGGAACAGAGCTGAAAGCCTGAATTCTTTGAAGTCACAGTTAAAAACCTGTTAGTTTAGAGCTGCCTTTGACTGCTGGAGTTAAACTGTTAACTGAGTCATTAGTTTAAGGTTGTGATCCAATTTGTTTATTTTCTTTTCTACATTCTTTCATTGTTTCCAAAAAAGTTTTTCCAATTTAAAAACATTTTCTTTATTAAAAAAGCTGCAGAAAATGGGAAGTGAAACGTCTTCAAACTTGGAAACAAAGTCCAGTGGATTAGTTTTTTTTATTTTATTTATTTTTTTAATTTCTTTTAGAATGACTGACCTGGATTACTGAGAATCTTCACCAGCATGTTTTATTGTTCTTCTATTTTATATATCTAATTCATTTAAAGCACTTTGAATTGTCCTGGTACTGAATTAAACTATACAAATAAAACTGCCTCTTTTTTAGTCTTTCACCATTTGTTTTATAAAAAAGAAAATGAAATAGTCACATTGTGACAAAAATCCCATCCTTTAGGTAAATGAAGAGCTGATTTTGTAAAGCAGCATTTGTGATCTTAAGGGCTGAAAGTGTTGGCTCATTCAGTCACAGCTAAACATTTGCAGAAAAGACCAAAACATTGACCTAAAACAAAAACAAAAAGTCATCTTTTTATGACCACTATTATTGTTATTGCAATAAGTTTTCCTAAGCTTTAAATTCAACTGTGAAATACTAAAAACTCAAAACTTAAGCTGGACAGAAAGCAGAACAAAATGGTTTTCTCCGAAACAGCAGATTATGATTACATTTAAAAAACTATTTCATAATAAAATGTTTCATGTTTAGATCATTTTTTGTTTTGTTGGCCTCTGCTGCCCCCCGGTGTTTAAAAAAAGAATTACACTCCTTTTCATTCTAATAGTTGTGAGGTTTCATTTCACTGCCACCAGGGGGAGACAAATCCCTCCTTAAATGGACCTAAAACCTCCATCTGAACTGATGGGGCAGATGTGATGTTTTTTGTTTTTTCCTTCCATGGAATCAGATCCAGTTTTATAAAAATAGAGAAACTTTTGTTTGCTAGGGAATAATCGATGGTAAAACATGGCGGTGGACAGAAATAACGGCTCAGGTGAGGTTAAAAGAAGCGGTTTAATCGATGTAGGAAAATCAGAACCTCAATGAGGACCTCTGTGTTAGCAGGTTTTTAACAAACATCCCACACAGGAATTCATTTAATAACTTAATGTATAAATGATGATTGGAATCATATCAGGACCAACGGTTAGCAGCTCAGCCATTCAGTCCTCGTTGACTGACGTCTTCCTCTGGGACAGCACCAGCTCCTTCACCTGGGGGGTCAGGGCCTGCAGCTGCATGCGGACGTTCCTGAACTCCTCATCCTGCTCCAAGGCCTCGTCGCCTTCCGCTTCTTCCTGCTTCCTGCCCTGACTCTGACTCACCAGCTGCTTCACCACCAGGCTCTGGTAGGCCGACAGCAGCTGCTGCTGTTCCTGGAGAGACAGACACAGCAGATGGAACCATAACAGCTGCTATGCTGGAAACCAGCGGCGAAGTTACTGGTTCTCAGGCATACCGTGGGGATGCGGCCCGTGAGTGTGCCGATGATCTGAGGGACGCAGCGGCCCGGAGCGTGCAGCATGCAGTGGGTGCTGGCCTGGAACAGCAGAACGCTGGTCAGGTGGAGAACCAGAGCGGGATCCTCTGCATCCTTCAGCTGCTCTGTGAGAGCCTGGCGGTGCAGGAACTGAGCCTGCCTGTAATGGCAACACATTCACACCCTTTGATTTCTAATAGAGCTCTAGTTACCAGAGTCATGCTACCATCAGACCGCAGGCGCTTTCAGCAGCAGGTTTACAGGCAAAGTCAATGGTTGACGTGCATCAAGGCACGATGGAAAAAAATGTACGCCTAAATTAACAGAAAATGTAGAAACCTGCTGGCAAAATGTGTTCGCTTTTATTATTCTGGCGCCTGCAGTTTGGATTATGTACGTGAAAAACGCCCTCCAATCATTAGAAACAGTAACTTTTTTGCTGCTTCCAGCGCTTGCGGTCTGAACGTAGCATCAGAGCGATGGCGTGACATCACCTTTCCCTTTTCTTGTCTCCTTTCTTTAGCATGAACCCACAGACCTCTGCACAGGTTTCCAGGTTAGTCAGAAAGTCTTCGATAGTCTGTAAGAAAAAACAAAGAGACGTTGTCTGTGCGCTTAACAGAGAGGCTGTTAACCATCTGGACTACTGGAAATGTCTGAAACTATGAAGGAAGGTTCTCCTAAAGCCGTCAGTGATGGAAAGGAGGGAGCCGCCTGCCTGAGTCCACAACTTTCCATCAGTCAACTAAACAACCAGCTACAGAACTCTGCTGGAGTACCTCTCATTTCAGACCATATTCTTTAAAAAAAAAAAAAATCATCTTTTATATGTGATTCTGAGCTTCTAATCTGGACATATTTTGTGATTTTAATTGATTCAACTTGCTTTTAAAGGAGAAGTCCGCTCATATTCCGAACTCAAACTTCTGAAAGTTCTTTAAATGTGAAATGATTCCATCCTGTTCAATAAATGATCAGTGTTTTTAATTCAGAGTAATTTTCATGTGAAAGTGCTTTACTGGAGGCATCCATGTTTGTCAAAGAACACTACTGCCACCTACTGGTTAGTGACGTCACGGTGCGGTATCGGCTGTTGATCAAGTCCCAGTGGATCAGGAATCAGAAAGGTGGAATAACTCTTTTTTTATCACTTTTACCCGATGTATTCCAGCATCCAGCTGCCATGCACGTGGGCATTGTCAGTTTCACTATAGCTCTGGTGAATTTCAATGGTGAAGTCCTCTGGAAATCTTCAATAATTGTTGTTGATTGCAGATGTGTCTAGTAGTTCCCATTGATTTAGCTTGTAAAGCGGGGAGAATGGCGCTAGGCTTACCGCACCGTGACGTCACTGCTGGAAGATGGCAGGAGGGAGGGGTTACTATATTTGGACAAATATGGCCGCTCCCGGACTCACTGATCGCATCTAAATATATATATATATATTTATTAATGATTAACATTAAAGTAATTAAATCAACGCAAACGTATTAGTTTTAGGTATAAATAATGATTATTCCTTGCTGACCGGACTTTTCCTTTAAAAGATTTCAGACTTTCTTCGGTATATAAGGATATATATAAATGTATGTTTTAGGAAAGGAAAATCTAGAAGCCTGTCAGTAGAAGAAAGGCGTTTCTTACGGATCACCTCCAATACCACAGTGTGTATCGTTTGGGTTTTTTTTCAGTGAGAACGATCCATTCTGGTCAGAGGAGAAGTGCCGCAGAGCTAAGCTAAGTGTTCAGTACTCAATAAGGTGGTGGTAAGGTAGAATATGACATCAAGCTTCAGAAATGCATCTATAGGCTTCTGCTGGGCGACAAATAATCAGAACTAAATGGTGAAATACGATATCAAATGCGATAAGCTAACAACTAAGCTAACAAAAAGCTGCATTTTCTAAACGAATGGAAAAGACAGTTTTATGTGATTAAACAGAATATATTCATAGTATTAATATCTGACCCATGATGGAGGAGAAACAACATGAGATTGCTGATCTAAACCCTATGCTGTCACGGTTGCTATGGAAGCAAAGTTACAGGGACGGCCGATGCTGGCTAAACCGTCTCCATTGATAGCTGATCACCTCAGGCCTCTTTGTTTTTGAAGATGGAGCCCCGTGGAGGAGCTGCAATGCTCGGGTGGAGCTATGTAGCCAAAATGCTGAGCTAACGACGATTCGCTGATGTTTATGTCCCTGAACAGTAAAACCTAAAGGAGGAGTGTGCAGATGAGGAGCATTTGCTCCTGATTTCCCCCCTCCAGTCCAGACAGCGGAGCAAATCTGGAGAGGTTCAAACTCTCACTTACTTTGCCGTTCAGACTGTTGTGCAGCTTCATCAAAGGTCCTCTGGTCTCCTCTGACAGTTTGCCCAGAATCTTCACTCTGACCTGGAAGCGACAGGAAGCTTGAGAACGAGCCGTGGCCACGAACAACCTGCTAGCGTTAGCTTGCCAACCTCGTTGGTGATGGTGCTGGGATTGTCCACCGACATCATCAGGTCAGCGGCCAGGAAGTTCACCAGGATGTTGGTGACATCGGTGCACACGGTCCTCAGCAGGTGCTTGGTGATCTGGACCTGGGTTTCATCTGGCGTTAGAAAAAGAACCGCGATCAGTTTTCATTTCACCTCATTCCACATCAAATGATCCGGTTCTCAGAGTCCAGTTTGAAACACGTCAGATAATGAGTGGATAGAAAACTAGATACGGCCGAGGCGGTGAGGAAGGGGGGGCAGGTTTGTGCGACAACGGAGGGACATGAGGGCCAAAAAGAGCGGGGATCCAGGTGGAAAAAGGGTCCCAGCGTTCTCGCTCACCTCGCTCTCCTAGCGGGTCCATCTTCAGTTTTCCACAATGTCGGTCATACAAACGAAACAAGCCGGTAAAGTACCAGACAGGAAATACGCATAGAGTAGAGGGGATGGAGATTTGACCAATCAGAGGCCTCCTGTCTGTGGTCACCTACTATTTGGGAGAGGTGGACCAGAGTGTCTGCGGAAGTGGGCGGGGCATATCCGCATTAACTGCGACACACGCAGATGACCTGCTTTCTGAGCATAAATCAGCTTTTAGAATGCAGCACTTTCCTTCAAAAAACTGACAATGTTTGTTTTCTACTTTCAGCTACTTTAGATCGCCAATGAAATGTAAAATAATAGCAAATATAGGGAATAATATGTTGAGATTCCAAAAGAGGTTTGATTCTTAAGCAACGGTTGCAATACAGTTTGTCTGAGTAGGGTTGCAATATGTTGATGTCATAAGAAGGGGCGGGGCCCCGAGCAAATCTGATAGTTACACCAGTCACTTCTTGGGGTTTTTTTCTACTGTCGGTGGCGTCTAAAAGTAGATGTCAGTGTTTTTCAGGTATGTGGTACAAACTGCAGGCACTAGATCAGGGGTGCCCAACCAGTCGATCGCGATCAACAGTCGATAGTGGGCGGAGTTTCAGTTGATCGCGAGAAGTTTTACAATGTAGACCTATTTATGGCTATCACAAAAAAAAAGTTTTAAAAAACACTAATCAATTCATTTATCACGAGACACCAAAGTGTATTTTCATAATAATAGAATGAAAAATAAAAAGTATGCAGGGAACCTTTTTTATGCATGCTGATTGCTGGCCATGGTTTGCCACGGTTGCTAGGGTGTTACCAGGCGAAGAGGAATCTGCAGAGATAATGAGATAATGACATCTATCACAACTGCTGGGGCTCCATCTATGGCTTGGCGCACTGCTGGATTCGTTGCTCCGTTCAAGCTGTCTGAAACTTTCCCAGATTTTTGGATCAACCACTGCATCATTCAGCAACAGCTGTGCAGCAATATTTTAAATATGAAGCATGTAATGGATGTTGCCATGAAGATCGTTTGCTCTGTTCGGGTCAGGAGTTTTCAGAGGCATTTATTCCGTGCATAGCTTGAGGAGGCAGGTGGAGACCACACAGATCTGCTGCTGCACACCGACGTCAGGCGGCTGAGTCGTGGCAGATTCTTCTAAAGATTGTTGGAACTTTTGCCCGAAATTAAAGAGTTTCTGAAACAGTCAACAACCCAATCTGCTGTATGTTACATCTTCACAGCCACATAGTTTGTACTTAGTATTTTCCTATTTTTATCTGTTTTCCTGTTGAATTTTAATCCATCTGCCAGTTTCTCTGCCAATGCCAATGCTCGGTGAAGTTTATAGTGGATGGACTTCCCTTCTCCTTCTTCCTGCTTTGAAATGATCTTTAAAGTGTGAAACAAAAAAAGAAATTTAGTTTGGAAAAGCTCTCTGGACAATATCATGTTTTTTTAAAGTGCAGCCTTGAAAAGTAGTAAAAAAAAGTATATAATATAATATATATAAACATATGACTCTAAATTTACAGTTCCAATGTTTTTTTTTCATCTCTACTGGACTGTGTGTGTCTGTATCAATTGGTTTATTTAGTTTTTTTGACTGCACAGCCTTTGTCTGGAGATCTTTACAGCTCTTTTCTGTAGTTTTGGTGAATCTGATGCAGGGTTCCTACAGCTTAAGGCAAGTTAGAC